CGGTTCCCTTATTGTTGACTCTTTGTTCGGATTTTGCTTGTTGAAAAACCGTTACCAAGTTTAGATACAGCTGACGGCTGTTACTATTACAGGAAGCCTTATTTATTTCAGAAAAAAAAGGTGCATGAAACGTCGCAGATACCTCACAGGTTGAGATTTATAACTAATTTTTGTATATAATTAATTAAAAAACCGCTGATTTTGAGAAATCGTTGTTTTGCGAACTTTGATTTTGAGCGTATCTTAATTGGGTGATTCAGACGTTTCGATAGACTCAACAGTCTTCAACTTCGGTTTCAATTTATGACTCCATAATGGTTGGCCCTATGTCAAGTACACATATGTTATTCTAGCTTCTGAACGAACCAATTTATCCATTCTTCTCTAGCTTCATTCTGACCTTGTCACTTATCCACCTTGACTGTTTTATGTTAGCGTATGTGTGTTCACTTCTTACTCACCACTTGTCTGTAACCTATTTTTGTCTGACTACAAATATCAATTCACGCCTGTCTAAATAGAGTTGGCTCACCTATCTGCTCCATTGCGCGTCATTTGACTTCACTTCTCATTCCGATCAACGATTGTATAAAATATACGCATTTAAAGTCCATTCTCGCATTTAGCTTAGTTCATTCTGTTATTCACTAATGCGATCTAAGTCGATTATTATGTACGAGTATCGACAACATGTATATTTCAGTAACAATCATCCTACGATATAACTGGAATCAGATAATGGGTCAATAAAACTCCATAAACGAGAGTCGAATTCAGGAGGTTCGGCCTCGTGTGTGAATGCTTAGCATTTAGATCAAAGAACAAGCATTTAAAGGTGTAAATGTCTAAGTTCAACTAATTCGCAACCTTGCGCGACCATCTTTCATTGTCTCTTGTGGCTGCCTTCCACATACTCGTCACGGATGAAATCCACTGGTCATCCTTGAAATATCTTCTCAAAGCTGGTCACATGAAGATTATCAGTTTTGAGTACGTGAGGATTGCTGAATGTTACATAGATCATGGACGGGTCGAAGCTATACAACCATTGACATGACAATAATATTAATAAGAATCGGTCGTATGTAATAAATATTCTTTCCTATTCAGAAACGGTTGTTAACAAATGTAAGGTTTATCAAAGCACGTTTCAGAAAACATGTCGTTGGGGCTCAGGAGTAAGTTCATTTTCAACTGATCGACACTGGTATTTAAATTAGGAAAAGTATAAAGATTTTCCTGTGTGAAATTCATGTATAAAATGACATTTTTTACTTCACTGAATTAATTCTCTGTTTGCAAACGAAATATATCAGCGTTTTTGTCCATATCGTGTTTTGATTTAATAATAGTTAGCCTAGAGAAATAAAGCGTCCCAGAATACAAGGCCGAAGAAAGAGACTTAATAATTGTATTAGTCAAACTTAAGTTAACCTGAACAACATTATTTACTATTCGAGGAAGCCGCTTACTCCAGGCCATTAAGCGTCGAAAACTCGAGTTTCTATTCATTGGTATGTGAATAATATATTGTTATACAATACATAAAATGTGTTGTTATGCATTTACCTTGATGAGAATGAAAACGAGTGTTGACTGAAAAATATCGAAAGACTCTCGTTTCTATGGGGTCAGCCAAATGCGTCTCAATGTGACATTACAGAATATCATGGTAAAATCTGAGACCAATACAGTAAACATTTCATTTACAAACTATCCACTGATTCTCTCAGAATTTATTGTCCCTTCATTTCCATACCAATCACTCTGTTCTCGTTTTCTTCCTTTCAATCTTATTAAGATTCTGCTGCCAGGCTTTCCTCTTTTGATCGGTGATACACACTACTTATATCAGTCCACATCAGTAGTACAGAACACAGTATGTCTGCAGCTGCCTGTGAATGGGAATATAATACATACACATGTAGACAGTCATCCAATGATTGATCGATTTTCTAAAATGAAATTCGACCAATCAAAATTGGATTATTGATTTCATCTTCTGTATTTTGATTGGATGAATCAGTTGTCCTTCTTACCTTCCCTTCTTCCTCTTTCAAGATTATTGATCGATAGGTAGAAGGAATATTTTTCCCTTGAATAAATAATAATGAAAAGTTAATGTGACGATTTATTTATTCATTTTCACAATTTGGAAACTTGTGGTTCAATTAGATGAAGTAAGTTGAATAATGATTTGACCAATGTGTTCTGTGATTCGAATTGTTATTCGCATTATTCTATTGTGTTTAAGAGAAAATCTCTGGCACTCTCCATTGTTTGAATGGAATATGACAGAGTATCATCATTTGAGATGTTGCCATGCGTAAACTACTGTAGAACTGTGATATTCATAGTTATGAATTACTTATAGACAATAAGATTTCTACAATAAAACTTAATCACAATGATAGCTGAGCTATTCGAAGCGGATTACACGGAACAGTGTTGAAATCCTAATCCAGAATATTATAATCAACTGCTTGAATTACTAAAGTATTCAACCAGGGGAATAACTAAGCGAAAGGATTATTGTCTAGTACATCGTAAAATGAATTATCCGATAATAATCTGACCTGAATTTCCAGTTTAAATGAAATAATCATTGAAACCAGGGAGCAGTAGACAACTGCTTCGTCTTGGAATATTACTTAGCATTGGATATCCATAGCACTTATTGAGATTAAGCTTAGACGGTTAACAGAATTATCCGATCAACGAAAGTCCATAATATAAACTACAAACTGAACAATTTAACCTTAATATCCTAATCTGTTAAAATTTATTAGTACACTGCATGTGAATGTTCACTAGTTATGTAAGTATCTTTGATAGACCACGAGTGTATTTATCAACTTCTACAACACAACGTAATCAGAATCTGTGTATTAAGTGCCTCAGAGTGCTTCAATGAAGCTCCTCAGATTGATTTATGTTGCCGATTTCACCAAGTACAGTTAAGCTAGTGTTGATAGTTATTGATAAATACACTCTCCTCCAAGTACGGATAAATATTCACAATAAACAGTTGACAGCCATCGGATGATACTGCTACACTGGTCCGATCAGGTACGCAGAACAGTGTTCATTCTAGTGATCCATTCACTGACTTCTGCCTATCCGAAATGGAAGTCATAACCTTTAAATGTTTATGTTCAAAACACTACAATATTCATCTATCCTACATGTTGATCTGTTTTGCTTCTTCGTCTTCCAGGATTCTCATCAGACAAAAGTAACAGTCCAGTCAAAATACAAACCATCTCAACTTTGAGCCAATAACGTAAACTAGTTGAACAACTACGTCAAGAAGCAAATTTAAATCGTCGTCCTGTTTCTGAATGTGTGCAAGAAATGATTGTGTATATGGAGCAGAATCGAGAAAAAGATTGTCTTGTTTCAGGATTTGCGAGTAAGAAAGATAATCCATTGCAAGAAAAAGGCGGATGCGTGGTGATTTTGGCAACTTGTTAAATGGATGATAAAACAAACAATTTAGACTCAATGTTCAATTATCCTTATGCTCCTTACTTCTCTGCGTATTTAACGAACATTTGTATTTCCTGAAGAACATGGGGAAACTAGTTCAATCTTCAATTAAATTGATTTGGTTCTTAAACCTTGGTATTTTAATTGTATTGCTTCATTTCGTTTTTGTGTATATGGACAAGCGCTCACACGTAAATTTATTTAATTATGCTTTTATATGAATAACGGGGGTATTCTCATTTCGTCTTTCTATTTCGTAATATCTTACTATTTCTGTTGTTTCTATCTCTTTGGATGTAGACACTTTAATCCAAACAAAACCAAATAACGATGAACGTTTGAAAACAGACGAATTATTCGAAAGCCAACTTTTCGTTGATTATCTGTGTTCTTCTTACAGTGACGTTGATAGACTACTTTACTTCATTCAGCGAGGAACCCTAAGACGTTAGTCTATTCACCAATGTTGCGAATCATTCTAATAGTGATATTAGTTTGCTGAGTAATTGTTGACAGGGATGTGTTCTACTGGTGACCTACCGTGGTTCTCAAATTACCATGAAAGTCCAGAGCTAAATATTATTCACTGAGAATGCAGGTGATATGATAGCACTATTCTCTAGACAACTCGAGAAATGGTCGGATTAGGAGTGAAGGTTAAGTTATGAAGTTAGTAGCGATATTTAAGAATCGAGTACGGAATAATACTTGGTAGCCATGATGATAAATGCATGTACAGTTTCTGCATGATTTCATATACTAGAAACCTTTAAGTTGTCTTCACAAATCCACCTACTATCTTCCTGGTTTGTGAAACCTTAAATGTATTTGTTTGTGTTCCCTTTTACATCGCAAATTAATCACTTTCTCATTGTTATTTTAAGAATCGTTCAAGTTAATTAATTAACTTAAAACGTCGTACTGACTAAGTAATGGTAGGTTCTAGCTCTTTTTTACTTAGCTTTTCGTATGAAATAAGCTGTACAACATTGCTGCTTGAGATTTGCTCAGAACTCCATGGCACTCCAACTTAAATCTTGTCTGTTAGTCAGAACTGTATATTTTTCGCTTAACTGTTTTCTTCTAACTCAAAATTTCTTTAAACTGGTGCCTATAACCCCTTAATGTCAGTAGATATTTGGGAAAGCCAGTTTGAATCTTACTGGATTAAAGTATCACTTGATTCAGGAGCATGTTCACATTTCATAAATGAAATCCAAGTGACATGAAAGTCTGGGCCAATGTGAGTATCGAAACGACTAGTTATAACCACCTAACATGAAATAAGGTTTTATGATGATCGACCGAAATTTTCAGACTATGATATGATAAGAATGATGAATGCACATTTCTCTTCATCAGTAAGCTTGACTGAATCTACAGCATGAATGAGAAACAGTAAAATCGGATAGATTAAACTTATTTGATAATATCGACAAAACAACAGTAGCATTGTCAATGTTAAATTTGAAGATACAACAGATGGCTAGTCATCATTCACTGGGTTTCATTTATTTCAAGCTGCGATTTTTCACTGGTGTTTTCTGTCTTGGTTTCAACAAACTATTTGAGTGGTTCATAGTTGAGTTTGTTGACGACTGTTGAATTGTTATCGACAGAATGCTATTATCGTACCATCTTGATGATGCTTCAGAACGACCATTTATCAAATGTGGTGTAGATGTTGGGCATTTTAAGAATGATGAACTAGAGATGTTGACAGATTTGGATTGCGTTTTACCGCCACCCTATAATTTGTCAACATTATAGACAAGCAATCAGTGAAAATCTATTTATAAGAAACGTTCATAGTTTATGCTAGCGAAAACCTCGTCTTTGGCACTGATAACTTTAAATATGATTTGTTTTATCTTAGAGGAAACTAATTGCCACTTGACACTTATTTATTCTATGCAATTCCTCAGGACAGGGTGGATAGGTCGGTGAATCAGTCACGGTTGGCGTGTTGCGTGGAAGAAAGGTGGTTCGGCATAGGTTGTTATATCTTATCACGTTGGTATATCAAAGATAAAATTAAAAATAATGAATAACAAACGAATCACAATAATAACAGTAATTAATCACAATAAAACAGAGAAAATATAGAGAACTCGCTTCGTAAAACGTAGTAGGTTCGTAGAATAAGTACGAAATAATAGCGAGACTCATAACCTAGAAAGTGACGTACTAATGATAAGACAGTACTGATACCTATGACAGTTAACATCTCCAACCTGTTTAATAGAATAAATGTGGTGTTGCTAGCAATGGAATCCAGGAGTCGTGCTCAATCTTATTGGGACTTTCCAGCTGCATGTTTCTGACTACTGATCACAGTTGTTGCCTGAACTCCAGCGCTTACTAACATGACTCAGATCAACAGTCAGTAAATTTGTTTAATCGCCTCTACCTCGCTTCCGACCGATTTCCATGTCAGTCAGGAATTCATATCAAGGTATGTGGTGAATTTTGTACTTTGAACGTATACCATGGAAGCCTAAGTAGGTGAGATAACATAAATTCATCAATGAATTTTCAGTTTTTATCTAGTGGCCTGCATCTAACCTGACCATTCCTCACTGTGTTAGATGAAGTGGAAAGAAAGTATTTTATCATTCTAAATACTGAAATTCCAACAAACTAACAGCATACCGGTTACGCATGTAAAATATCCCTCATTAAAGATCGTTCTAATCACCTGGAGGCTACTGAAGAAGTTCAAATTCTTTGTAAATTCAAATATTAGACAATAGTATCAGTTACATTGTAGGGTCCAGAATGTAAAAACTAACACCATTTCAAGTATACTTCAAGTGGTATTGATTTGTGACAACGAATCTTGTTCAATGAAGAGGATAAAGATTTGAACGTCAGTATTGATTAGTTTATCAAAGGATAATAACCACATTTTCAATTAGTTAAATCAAGAGAAATACGTGTTCACGTGATGGCATGGCCTGTTTGACTTCCACATTCTTCACACAGCTTCAAATGCATTTTAAAACACTTTCACAAGACTTTCACTATGTTTAAATGGACTTTTGACAGTGAATGAACCAAATGATGTACATATGAAAACGATTAAATCGTTTTGTAGCATACGTGTGTCCATCATCAAACTGACACATGGTAGTTTAATTTATTAATGAATTCAATGTGAAAGAACTCTGACGAGTATTGGCATTGTGATCAGTGGGCATTATGCATTCAGTATTTATAATTTGTACTCTATGATAGCGTAATACATTGCTTCTTCCCAACCCTATGTATAACATATACTTGCAGTCATATCCTTGTCTGGATGCTGTATACAACTCTAATTATGACCAATGATATCGTAAAGATACCTAACTAGAACGTCTCAACCAGATTTATTCATCAGTATTATACAATATTATTTAAAGTTAAACTTTAGTTTCATGCTTTCGGTCCACGGTAAATAATTCCAAGGAGTTTCAGGCTAACATCACACAAACAATCAATATTTCCTGGCTGACATTAGTTTTTAGAGTTAGCATCAGACAACGACTTGAACTTTATGTAACACTAGTCAATCTTACTCATCAAGTATGACAGAGTTGTTTTATGTGGGTTGACTTTCATTACGGATGGATGTTGGTTGCAGTACCAATGTAAACTAGAAGGCACTAGGTAGTCATGTTGCCATGGTATGGAATTCCTCAACGGTCAGCACGTTGTGTAGTCGCCTAGCTTAATGTCGAATAGACTAAGACTAGGAGTGGGGATTATTGGATGGCGATTCAACAATGTAAAAGATAAGGGTTTGGCGAAAGATCTGATATCTTTCATTCGACCCCTAATTAAATGTTCGAAATCATCACAGAGTGTGTTATTTTTAAGTTCCTTCGAGTTGAGCACACATTTCAGTTTACATATATTCCGAAAGAAACGGGAAGAAAATGCCACCCTGACAACTGTTGCTGGGTGATAAGCATTAAATCAATGGAAATATATGTAACTAGGGCAGAACAATACTAACTTAATGGGTTATTATTAAAACAACTAAGCATGCAACCGGTTTCACTGTTTTCTATCAGCAGAACATTTAACAAAATTGGGTGTATCCTGCTTGAGGAATTTATCGTCAGTTGGATGTACCTGAAGTCCATTATTAATAATGTTCAAGGTAAGACGTGAATTCATTGAGAACATCATCACCAGTATACTCAGGTACATGCAGCTGTGATAATTTCCAAAAAAATCTAAACGAGGCCCCTGGTCAAAAAACATCGACAAAGACTTACAAATCATAGTCCCGAATGCACACAACAGGATGATATTAGTTCCTACAATTAGTTGCTATATATGTCTAATACTTCAAAATGCATTTTAGGCTACTTTTATTGATGAAATAAATTCACCTGGTACAATAAGTCATAATGAAACGTCCTATCTATTACATCTCAATTTTAACTAAACACAAGTTCGCGTAATCCATTTCGAGTCTTCAAATCGACGATGACCAATGATACCATTCATCTGCCTAGTAAAAATAAGGAACCAATAAATGACTTTGGTCAAGTCAACAGTTGTTTAAAGGTTTACCATAGATATTTCTGCAAACAATCACAGTTCTTTACAGATGACACGCGGAACCATCAATCAACCAAAAACTATAGCTGATGCAAAAACAAAACTAACTAATCCAGAAACCTACCTCCGAATATCTTTGCTTGTTCAAAAGACGTCGTTCTCGTCGCCCTCTACCTTCTGCAGACGTGTTACGTATTTTCGTTTTGTGTACAGAAAGTGGTTTTGCTTCATTTTTTCCTGTCTGTTGTACTGGGACTTGTTTTTGTAGGTTTTGTTGGAAACTTTGACTGTTGTTACAGTCTGTACTGTTATTGCAGTTTACTTGTGTGATCGATTTACTTTCGGAAAATTTTAAATGCTTCATCGAAGAGCTCGACTTTTCCTTCTTCTATTCTTTCAACTTCCTCTTTCACCTTGTTCTTTCCCTCCCTCAATGAAGGCTTCTTGTCAAATTCCTGGTCGATTTCCTTTCGTTTAGAATAGCCGTTAGTCATCACTTCACTTAATTGATCAGTATCGTCACATGGATCTAGACTTTTAGAGCTGTTGGTAATATCCGTATACTCATTACACTGTATTGATGAATCTGACTGCTTGTTTGTACTCTCTGACAATTTACTTGTATTAACGATGTCTTGCCTGGGGCCATATTTCTTGACTTCAGTTATTCTTTCAGATCCATACTTCAAGCTGACTTGTCGCATTTGCTTAGGGTGGTCAAAGCGAATTACTGGAACAATGCTTAACTCGCGTACTTCACTTAAACGAATAAGGACATCACTGGGAGTGATAAGTAATGGACCGTGCACTGCGTCATGTTTTTGCTCTGATATATTCACTTGCTTACTGTTCTCACATGATGATCTGGATTCACAAAACACGCACGTGTATAAACATGAAAGCTTTCTCTATATCGATACAACAACATTCATCCAAATAAACGTTACCATGGGATCAAAACATTTTATTAGTCAAAATGAATGAGAAGTCAGTCAATGTGATGTCACTAAGTGAGGTTTTCACACATCCTACAGGTTTGGTATACTCAGTCCAGAGCAGTACCTGGGTTATGGGGTGTATTAAATCATTTCAATCCACATCAGTGCATAAACTAAAGCATTTCTTAAAGCTGAATCTTCTGGCCAGCTAATATAGTAACACATTTGCACTGGATGGATGAAACAAGTGTGTACAAGCAATTCATCGTCTCTACAATAAATACTGCATTTGAAGAATTCATCATAGAAGGTTGGTTCCATAAAGTTTAAAGTACAGAAATGATATACCTTAAATTATCTGTACACATTTCTATGTAAAGCTAAATCAGTCAGCAGAATGATTTATTCAAAAAGAATTGGTGAAATCGACACAACTGGAGAATGGAAATTAAAAAAACGAGAGCCAATGAAGGAGAATTGGTTTGAAGTAAATTTCAAAGGGAATGAAGGAAATGAAAGAATGAGAATCTGGGAATGATTCTCGACTCAAGCTTTATGTGTAAATAGGGGAGGTAAGCAACTGCTCTGCTCTGAACAATTCTGTGTTATGGCACTTAAAATCAATAACAACGAATTCCACTGGTTGAAATCATGGGTCCATTAAAGCTAGACGGCTTCTCACTAGAACTCCAGGAGTATCTCTTGAAGTCAGTCACTAGTGAGCAGATGATTATTATCAAAAGGGGTTTTGTGAAGATTGTAGAAGTTTTGTGGTGCGTGCTACTTATATTGATATAAGTACTGTATAACGTGAGTTAAAAGAACGTAATGTCTGGCAGCAGAAGATTGGGAAGATCAAGAAAGGAAGAGAGAGAACACAATGAAGTTTGTAAGAAATCGCATGAACAATGAAATGTGAGACAATAAATTGATGTTTGCAACAGCAACAGTTCGGTTTTATATGATGGAATGATATTTTGCAACTTAACGATTTACTATAGGGTTTTTCTATTTTATGAAGTAACTCTGTAATTTTGTGCTAAATATAATTTGGTTATCCTCACCTGTGTTCTCATTCACCACAGTTTTACTGGTTGAAATCACAAGTCACTTGAAGCTAGACCACTATGGAAAACCTGGAAGCATTGGACGGCCGTTTCGTCCTAGTATGGGACTCCACGTTCTAGTTCTAGTGAGAAGCCGTTACCAGTGGAGTTCAACCAGGTCTGTTGTGAGATATCAACTCACTGAAGACAATGGTAATCGGTGGTTCAACTTCGTGGATTGGTTGAAGCTAGACATTAACACCGTTAGATGCCGGCTCAGTTGTCAAATGGTTCTTGGTTCGAATCTCGCGAGGAACGGGATCGTGGATGCGCACTGCTGAGGAGTCCCGTACCAGGATGAAACGGCCGTCCAGTGCTTCCAGGTTTTCCATGGTGGTCTAGCTTCAATTGACTCATAGTTTCAGCCAGTGACATTTCTAAGATCTCCACAAAGCCCCTTCTGATGACAACAAATTCCTTTAGGGTTAGATGTAGAGAGTTTACACTTCATTACATGACTTATATAAATAGTCATTAGTCATACAAATTGATTTGTTAGTTCATCAACATTTGTCCAAATTACCTCTACTCCAGCTACGATCACACATCGATGTGGGCGGTAGCTATGATTGTGCAGCATATATTCTGGACCAAATATTACGATTTTTATTGAAAGTAGGCTTGAAAGAGCATTTCTGAAGCTTGGGCGGTTATCATTTCTACAACCCATGTTCACCGAATGATTTTTTTCTTGCTTTTCGAACTCTCATATCTACATATCGAATAATTTATGGTACTACACACATGTTCGGTCTTCAAAAATGGTATGATAAAATGTCGAGAATAGTTGGTGTATATAAGACATTCAAACAGCGCTTCCAAACTCATGAAAGGAATCCTAAATTTCCTTATAATTTTTTCTCCAAACATTCCAAGCTCATAAAAATTTCTATAAAAATATCATCTGGAGAGTGTACGTTTCCTCTGTACATACCGTATAACATCCAGTTTTGCCGAACATTTTACTTGGAATTGATATACATTTCATCATTTAGAATTTACAGACCATTCGGGATCGTGAGTGCGCATTGCTGAGGAGTTTCAGGCGAGGACAAAACGGCCGTCCAGTGCTTTCAGGTTTCCCACGGTGATCTAGCTTTATTTAACTTATGACCTCACTTATTAAATTAATATAATATCCACAGAAACCCCTTTCTGATCATTTACTGTTGATCTGTAGTGTCAGTTATTATGCTAAGCCCATATATCTTATTCTAGCTTTCGGACATCCCATTTTATTCATTCTACTTGAGCCATACTTTGACCTTGTTATTTATTCGCTTACCAATCTAGACTGTTTTTATATGAGCGTATATGTGTGTGCCCTTCTTATCCCATTAATCACATGTCTGTAGCTTATTTTGTCTGACTATAAATATTGAGTAACGCTTGAGTAAAATGGAGTTGGCTTCCCAGCCATCTTCCATACGTGTCATTTTGCTTTGCTCTGCTTCATTCGCTCCATATGCAAAATATATATATATATATATATTCTCAAGTCAATTCTCGTTATTCGACTTATTTAATTCCGTTATTGACTAACGCGATTTAAGTCGACGATGATATACGAGAATAGGCGATAACAATCATTCGTACGATCTAAATACGAGTCAGATCAATGGGCCACTAAAAATCAAATGCATCAAAAAGTGTCTAGTTATACACTGTAGTGCCACTTATGCATATGTATCAGTCAGTCATATACAACGTAGAGCCTGACACAAGTGTACATCGGTCGAAGTCACCACATCTCATTAGCAAACAGTAAGATGAAATCGTTAGGGCGAATTCCAGAGTAGTAGTGGTAGTAACAATATTGGTGATAGTACAAAAGATTAGGAAACAATGATAATTTGATTAGAAATCTTGGACTAGTCAAATAAAAAATTTATATGGTAGGTTTGAAACTTAGGATCTAACGTAAAACACAATAGTCCGAGTAAAGTGTTTTACTGATTGGAGATTTGAACAATGTGGGGATTCGGATGACCTACCAACTGCGTGAAGGAATACATAGTTGGTATATTGATGGGTCAGAACTCATTGGTCACTGTTTTTGATATGAGTTTTGTTTAACAGTAAGATCAAGTAAGAATCAGAACACGGATTTGGTCTGTTTCGTGTTACGTCGGATAGAGTTGGTTATACAGTCAATTCACACAGATGCAGTGAGTGAAAGTTAATATAAATGAAACAACAATTTACCAAAGTATCATACATATGGACAGAATTGAAGATACTTGAAAAGCAAGCTTACTTCACTGAAGCATTGAACATCATTTGATTTTGTAAATAATCAGACAATAAATTTCCCCTTTTACCATGTTGACTTTGAAGTTTGGATTCAGTGAGTGCAAGAATTTCCGCTGGTTCTAATGTTGAAATTGTTCGTTCATGTACTCTTAACGGGTCGAAACTAATCACATTGCGCATGATAAATGATTTCTGATCTTCAGATAAACTGACCAGTTGGCCTAAATGAACGAGTATACCATTTTTATGCGTTACAACTCGAATAAATGGACATGAATTCTTTTCTTGACTGTCGTTCATTGAATTTTCTCTGTTTGAACTGAATATACTGGAAGCCACTTGTGAAATACTCAGACATCGTGATGACAGTCCTGTATAACCTGAGATAAGTTACGTATTTGTCGGATCTTCAGTCTGAGTAGCTTTATTCTCTTTGGGTAGTGAATGAATTGGTAGTTTCAGAGCGTATAAAGCCAGGATCAGTTTAAAGATTTCTTGTGACGGATTCATACCAATCAGAAGAGAATTCAGTGACTGTTCATCCATCATGGTGATTTGGTGCTGTTGGTTTCTAGTATTTATCATGTTATTGATTGTTTTTTGGATAATCTGTGTCTCTTCAATGGATGCTGTAGAGATTTCATTCATCTATCAGAAGAAAAGGAAGAGTTATGCACATGCCAAATGAATATAATCACTGATGTTGACAAAGTAGATTAACAACAATTTGCAAGAGAATTGATTTCCTTGTGAGATTGGCCAATAAATCATTGTAACTAACATTATTCATTAACACAGATCACTTATGACAACTATGCTAGTACCAACGAGTGACCGTGCGAAGTACTTCTGCAAGGCACAGCTGCAATAATGAGACGAAATTAGTATTGTTTGAGGTGTTCAAACCGGGTGATCCAATTTCATAACCTTAGGGAAACTGTCAAGTAATTATTTAAGCCTAGATAGATCTATTGCGGATGAGGAGTTACTCAAATATATTGATCGAAATTTATAAGTAAAGAAACGGTTTACTGTATGGTTGTTAGATATTAGTGAGATATTCTATAATAGTGTTTCCAAATTCATAAGATTGCTCCATTCGTGCTCTTGTTCACTATGATAGTAGCTCACTGAAAACAATGGTGGACGGTGGCATATTCTCGTCGATTGGTTGGAGTTGGACATTAACAAACAAGTTATTATTGTCATCACAAAACTTTAAGTACTTTAAGTTGAATAATTTCCGTAGAAACGTCCGTAGCACAGGAAGACTGTTTCATCCTATTGTATGACTCCCAGAAACCGAATATACACGACTTTGTACTCGGCAAACTCACCGAGAACCTCAGGTCTTGCACATGAATTCTCAACCTCTAGACCACTGAGCTGGAATCCAACAGTGTTAATGTTTGTGTTGAATTAATCCACAACAATGCGCAACCATGTTTCATTGTCATTGGTAGGTGACTGTTTCACACTCTACTCGGATTGTATAAAAAATGTTTTCCTAAAGTTAAATAACAATATTCCTGTGTGTAAATCACCGAATAATTACTGAAGACCATCTCAAAGCATCATATCGCTTAAATAGTCCTGTCCGATTCATTAAGTTTCCTACATATATAAGTGTTAAAAAGAAAGTACCGAAAAGCTAACTGAAGTTGGATACAAGAACAAATGAATAATAGATCAGTGGAGTTTAATAACTTCACAATGGTGGATTTGACCCCCAGAAAGGTCGTGTGTACGCGTTACTGAGTAATAGCGTGTTAGATATGAAATAGCTCTACAGTACTCACTCATTCATATGATGTTTAGCTGAAGAAAGTTTGTATTGGTAAATATTTTTAGACAGAACTCAGGAGGATCTATTCGATAGTTGAATTTACATTTGCATATGTTACTTGTCGCTCCATCACTTTCATCATTATCTAATCAAGTTCAGAGTAGTTCATTTTTTAAATGTTCATAGTCCAACAAACTCAGTTACCAAAAACTGGTTGTTTCATCCAAGTACGGGATGCCCGCCGAAGATAAATTACAATTAATGGACCTGAGATATCCGGATATCCTGGGAATTACAATATCTTCGAATCACTGAGTCGTATTCTATTACCTACATTATACGCAATCATAAACGTTCCCTCATACCAACAGACGCGTATTCACTGCTGACTAATTTCCATAAGAATCTTAGAGATATTTTAGCGAGTTGTTGGAAGTGAAACAAATTACTTCTTATGACGGTGAACGATGGTTATTCTGTCTATCACACTGACCGAAAATTATCGGTGTGAATCATAAACAATGTGACCACTACGCAAAATAAAGGTATTGGGTTCGATCCAATGTTCTATCACTGTGATACAATTTTGAATAGCACTAAACTTGGACGAAACTACTGTACAAGGCTTCTTAATTTTCGGTTGTTTGTAATTGTCATTTTGAAACAAAAAATACACTATTTTCCGATACACAGATCAGTGGTTAAGTAAAGGTGGATAATAGTTAGGAGCGGGATCCAAGATGCGAGTTTAATACACTTTGGGATTCGTCAGTTGGATCTACTTCTATCCTGGTGTTCACGTCGAGACTGGAATTTATTAAGATGACGGAGTGGATTTGTAGCTCAGGTGGATGACGTTGATGGAGTTTTGTTCTCTGAGCTGGATGGTTTGGTCATGGAGCCTTCATAGTTCATCATCAGCACAAACTTCAGATAGAAGTGAAGCGTTCGAATCTCTCCATATGTGGTTCAAAGCTTACCCTGTACAACTCGATGTTGATTGGTTTTTATTGACCTTAAATTCGTCATTGTTTACTTCCTTGTTTTGGTTGTGTCTCCCATTGGTTTGATTTTTGTTCCTATGTTTGTGAGGAAATGTCCTCACTTACATCAATACACGTGGACAAGTGCTGACACTTATTTCACTGGAAAAATGTGGAAATCTTGGCAGTCAGGTCAATCAGCAATCAACAAGCACATTGAAATCGACCTAAATAATCAACCAATCAGGAAAATTATGCACAAATATAGGAACAAAAATCAAACCGATGGATCATACAACGAAAACAACGAAGTAAACAATGTTCAAATTTAAGGTCAACAAAAAACAACCAACATCGAGGTGTGGAGGATTAGTTTGAACCACATATGGAGAGATTCGAGCGCTTCACTTCTATCGGAAGTTTGTGCTGATGATGTCGTTCAGAAGAACGATGAAAGCTCCATGACCAAACCATCCAGCTCAGAGAACAAAACTCCATCAAAATCGAATTTAATAATTTTTGTTTCAAGAGCTTAGTCCATTATCTCCAGGGCGTTTGAAGCTAATACTAATAGCTTTGAATTCCAGGGTGGGAATCAACACTAGAATGGAGGTACATGCTGTTGTGACTTGAACTTGGATCAACTTTTACCCCGTGCCAATTGTTGTGTCTTTGACTGAAAGATTAGAGATCAGTGTCTTATCGATCGGATCAAAAACGCGTAAAACCCGTAAGAACGGCCCAGAGTTTTGGTTGGCCCTGCTTTCCTGTCTAGCCCAGCCAGTTGAGTCCAGAACGCAAGTTTCAGCCTCTAAGATATGAATCATTGTATTTCAGACATACTCTGTTTATATACCAACCAACTCGACCACAACGTACCAATAAAATAGAAAATAACATGTGTACAATAATTAGCCAGAAGTGACCGTGAATGAGGGAAAACTAACGTTAAGCATCTAGTAGAATAGAAGAATAAACTGTGAAATCAGTTATGTAATACAGAATATTGATCGAGAGAACAAATGAAGAATCCATCTAAAGTAATTAACTATTCAGAGTAATCACATAAATGTTAGAAGCAAAATGTAAGTTGGATTTTCATCAAGGTTCATTTGACTCAACTTAAGTTTATCGAAGTAACAATGAAGATCATACATACAGTTTCTGTAGTCTGTATATGACAGTGTTTTTCTTTTAAACAACAATATTCACATAATCACTTTACAAACTACTTCCAAATTCAGAAAGATACCGACTTCTATGAGCATTCTGTATTCGATTTTGATGCATAATATTCGGAGATGTGTTGTATGCTACTAATGTATGTCGATATAAGTAGTATGTAACACTAGTCGGAAGTGGAATGTTTACGAACCGAAGGTTGAGAGGATTAAAGTGAATAGAAGACAGAAGAAAACGGAAAGTAATCAAGATAACAATAGGAGTGAAGGAACAATGAAGCTTGTAAGAGACGATTCAAAGAAGATGTGCAAATGATGTATTTTGCATTAAACAATCAATCGGTCTTCCCCATTTCACTTCTTTGCTCGTTACGATATCACTGGGATATAATCAATACATTTTAATCACTGAGGAATTTTTAATATAAATGAATGAAGAATATACTTTTCAATAAATTCTCTTCAGTGTCTACAATCATCTTTGCCAAATGGATCATCCAAAATGTGGTCAGATTTAAGACAAAATGCATCGTTTATAAATGACAGTATGTGAATTGAGGATTGTTTGTGATAGAAAATAAAATGGAAACTTTGTTGCGAGGATGACTAATATGATGTGTTGACTTTACGGTAATGCAACGTGTTATCAGCAATCTGTCTATATCCATCAGACTAGGAATACTTTAGAAGAAGAAGAAGAAGAAGAAGAAGTATGTTCAACCGCTCGTTTGACCAAATTCTGGATTAATTGGTGAATGATCATTAGGTGTGTGATACGGTGACATAATTCGATTAATGCTCGTACAACCCTCCATGGATGATTCATCTGGATAAGATGATTGTAGAAAGCGAATAGCATTTATTGAAAAGCATATACTTCATTCATATATCTGTTATCTAAGTAATAAAGACTGAACGTATTACTCTTTCATATAAGAGTTTAATGTATGCTGATTATTCACTAAGTAGTATCTGAAATCATATTGCTCTAGACCTTAATGATGTTGATAGAATTATATTGATCAAATGACAATATCTATCCAACGATCAAATAATCATAATAATGAATATTCGTTGTCTCATATTTCAAGCGCTTTAGAATCATCAGTATAAGATTGTGGAAGTCGTTGAGTTTTTAAACGAGATCACGAGTCAATGGATGTTGAACAACCACTGAAAACCTCGGAGTTCTGGATGCTCATTTCATCCTATTATAAGACTCTTTACCAATGTGCATGCACGATCTCTCACGTGGAACTCGAACTTAAGATCTTCGGTTCCACACAAATATGCTTAACCTCTAGACCAATAATCGGGATCTGTCGACAAAATACTTTCCAGTCTGATCACTTTGTCCTTCTTTTCAACCTTCTCCTACACCGATCATCAATCTCCATAACCACAATTAAAACAAAACAAAAAGATCAATCGATTTGAATATATCAATGTGTAATGGTGATTATTTTTTTGTTTTAAAACACAGTTTCATGTAAAAAGAGAAGAGACCATTTTTGTCTTAAATGTAAATGATCCATGTGAATAAACACTTTGAGATTATAAATCATTGTGGTTGATTAGATTAATTCGCTTTAACTGGTGGAATTTCGTCGAGATTATTCCAGTTTGTATTCAATATTGACGTGAACTGTTCATTCTACGATTAGAAATATAGAAATATAAAGGTATAAGAATATTAATTATTATCAGAATGAGAATTTGTGGAGATTGTAGTAATTTTAATAGTTGAATTCATGAATCGATCTAAGCGAAACCACCATTGAAGCATTGGACGGCCCTTTTGTTCTAGTATTAGATTCCTCAGCAGTGCGAATCAACGATCCCTTATAGGAGACTTCAACGCAGAACCTTCCTTATCGAGCTTGACCTCTAGATCATTGAGCCGGCCTACAACACTGTTGATGTATAACTTTCGTCAATACATGACATTGCGCAACTCTTCCTCCATAGTCTGAGGTGGACAACTGTCTCCACCTGACACGAATTGAACTCCAATGGTCTTGGCTTCTTACTAGAACTCCAAGAAATCCTTCTTGAAGTTAGTTACTAGTGCGCAACATCATGCATTCAAGTATTAAAATATTAATTATGTAAAATAATATTAATCAGCTTTAAAATTCATAAATAAAATGTCTAAATGATGAAAGGTAATCAGCTGGAAGAATTTCATGGTTTCGTGTTCATTAACACTCATTAGAAAGATGAATCTCTAGTCTTAAGGAAGTCAGATATGGCATCTGAAGCCATACTATTCATTGTCACAAACCGAAATGTTAAACCGAGCTATTCAGTCACAGTTTAACATGGAATATATCATTCTGATGGTTCAAGAGCTTACGTCATGACAGAACTGTACACATGGAATGTTTCAGTCTTTTAGGAGATTAGTTGTATTCTAAAGCGCTCAGTATTAACATCATTTACTTCATGACGAAGTGAAGAGACATGTGCCATTTTAGTCAATAGAGGAGGATCAATTGTTTCAGAATTGTGACTACACTTTGGTGATGAGTTCCAACATAACTAGCGTCTAGAGTTTACTGGCAATCGACTGTATAACGTTGAGATGAATTTTGGGTTAGACATACATAATGACTGTTACAATTAACAAACATGTGACCACAAGTTACGATAACTTGGAACTAATCTTTCTATGAATAGTTACTCAATTGAATACTGGACTGTTGATAACTCCTATTTCTTTCTATTTGGAGACAATTTTATAATATATCTAAAGTACAAGCAAAAGTAATTTTATTAATAACAGACTTCACTACAGTGGTGTGGCTAATTCTTTGGACTTCATTGTCCAGACTTTGGTCTTATCATGCTCCATCATCAGAAAAAGAAGAACCTTGAACATCTACTACTCCAACCAATTCAGTCCAACTAGCTCGTCACATGAGATAACAATGATCAATTCATCAAACTACCTACTGCCATTGGATCACTTGATTTCCTATAGTTGTGATGATCTGAAATGTTATAGCATGAACTGATACACATTTATGGCGGGATCAGGTCCTGTACCCACAGGTGACACTATGAATTCAGCCTTGTTGATCAAGTGAGTCTATCGTCTGATTGCATGTGCATCATAAAGTTGTTAGTGTACTGCTATCCACAACCAGTTATGTTTTGATTTCATAAAAGTATTTGAATTGACGATTAAATATCATGATAGACGTTTGAAAAACGTTCACAGGGAGAATATGTGTAACCCGTTTATTTAACAGAAAAAATGCTGTGATACGACCGGTGGTAAGGAATGTCCGCTCTTCTCACGAAATGTTCTTTTGTGGACACGTGTTTACAACCACTGTCAGGGGACTCCTACTCACTGCCTTTTCGAAGCAACAGTGTTGTCTTTTTGCTACCGTATCTTTTGTAATTTCATTCGTTTGGAATATCATCTACGCTTTTTCCTGTCCTCATTCTGTATTACTTCAAGTCTAGTGAAATGCAATGGCTAAAGGAATACTAAACAAGTGTGGATGTAACACTCATTTACTAAGTAGATATTTATGTAGTCAGCTTTGTGATCACTGTGTTCATCTGTGAGAACTATTTACACTAAGCGTCAGTTCAATCAAGATACAAGAAAACGTACATAAGTCAGTAAAAACGACTTACCGTTAACTGACCAATTTTTAAATGTTCCCCATCAGATATTGTCACTCCAGCCACTAAATCAACCAGATCAATGGTATTTGGCAAATTGATACATGCATTCTTAATTTTTTGTAGACGTATTACATCAGGTGTAACTGTGGCACCAGTTAAATCTAAACTACGATTTCTTGTTCTCACTTTATTTGAAAACTATATTTAGAAAGAATCCATGAATAAGTTAATGTAACCAATTAAGTTAAAAACTAACGACAAAATGAGAAACCTTCAGGCATTCACACACTCTGCATTTCTTATTTAAAAATATAGTTCCTGAGTTATGATCAATGGAGTAGAACGGTGATCCGAATATCTTACTGCTAGCATCTTAGATCTTGAAACTGATTGAAACAAGTTTGGATCCTACACGAGGTACTAGTTCCATGAAGAATGAAACTACCCTCTCTATTCATACTAACAAGTGATAGCCTCCAACGATTAACTACCGACTACCTCCAACTAGTTAACATGCCGTTATTACTGTCATTTCAACTACTTTCATTTATATCTTGTCAGTTTACTCTTAGTGCGTTTATCATTGAGGTGTGACAAAACAAACATATCTGTGTCGGATCCTAGTTTCATCATCACTGATTGACTGAACAAGGACATGGAGTATGTGTAGATTAAATACGGACAATCAATCTAAACTAAATTTGTATTAGTTAAACGTAAGTTTAGTTCTTTCCAGAATTAGTGAGTCGTTAGAAATGCAGGAGAACATGATTGAATAGTGAAAAGATATCAGTCGAATATTAAGCCGATTGCGGTTTAAACAGATCAATAATAATTTCCTTAACTGTGATATTAGTCAACGTGGATACAAGTCACATTTGGAGAACCAAGTTTCACCAGTTCATATTCACCTTACTGATAACATTGTTTTCTATTTCCATGTTCGAATTGAAATGAACTGAAGAGAAGACGAGGTGGAATTATGTTAATGTCGCCGTTCAGAGGAAACTCTAAATGAATGGCACATTTGACAGAAATTAATGCGATCAAAGATCGAGAATTATAGGATAAAACCCGACTTGTGATTCAGATGAAACCTTAGAAATAATTACGACTGCTCCATTATCGATCGTCTGAAGTCAGATCGCTCAATGTTTATAACAAAATGTCATCTTACTAGAAGCAACAATCATCAACATCATAAATTATCATGGTTTCCCGGCTTCATCAATCCTACTATTATTTAGATTTGTGTGAATCATAACTCAGACATCTCAATTACCACAGGTATATAGTTTCACCAACCATGTAACTATTCCTACATAGAATCTGACTGTGAATCTTATGATTGCTCACATGATATTTCTACCACATCGAAGTATTGTTACAGAGAAGTCTGCTATCAAACGTTCTCAACTGAAACTGATATTTCACCTTCATAAGCCAATTTTTTGTAAAAGAAGAAGGAGCTATATAGAATCTAAACATTTCTTCATCCTTCAGGATATCAGTTGTTTCCCGGTGAGTTTCACGTTTACATATCTGGTTGATATGTATTCATGTCCAACTGTCAGGACTGTCTTTCTCAAGAGTACAGGCTGGTGCTATTGACAAGTCCCAGTTAGCATCAAGCCTCTGAGTTCAAGTCAATCACCACTAACATTAATTCTATTAGAACACAATATCGGATAGAAAGAAAATACATACAGAAAAGACAAAACTTACATTCGATATGGACGATCTGGCTGTTCTTAATTTACTATTCATTTTTATGCCAAACTGATTGTTATTTGCACTGTTACAGTACGACTCTGATACGAAACGCCATTGAATTGGAATTTTATTTCCCAAAATATTATTATCACTTTCATTTGAATGTGAATCAGTCGTGAATGATTCATCTTGCCTCTTATTGACTGGATATAATTTAGGTACACTGAGTAGATTTCCTTCATCGTCGAAAACTAGTTTTCCAGATCCATTGATTCGTTTGTTTTGTAGCTAAATATAATTTTAGAAAATGCTCCAATTCAGCCTGAGACAGTATTTTACTAGTTCTGTTTAACTACTATCAAATAAAAAAGTAGTTTGCGCTTTTATCTAAAAATTATGAATGATCGCATTCTTCGTCTTTTACAACTGGCCTGAACGGAAATATCAAAGTTAGTTTTCTTTATCGTGTAATCTGATGTAACATATCCAAAATTTGTTGGTACTACGAGACAGAATGAATGATATTGAGAGATCGCCAATACAATGTTCGAAACGGTGAAATTAAGTGTTCAAATTTTAATGTACGTAGAAAAAAATACAAGACCGACCAAAGTTAGACAGCCATTGAGAACCTGGAATCACTAGGCAATCGGTTTTCTTTAGTGTGAGCTTTATCATCAACGGTTATCTATGACCCATAAAAAGGATTCCAGTCAGAAATCAAACAAAGCTTTCTGTTGTCTGCCATCACACATCTAACAATAAACAAAACTGACAGAATATTTTAGTATATACACTCAACAATGACCATAATTACCATAGTTTCAGGCAGTGGTTTCATTGGTTTCTTTCTAGTTAGACTATATTCTTTACTGGTATTGTCGTTTTTAACTGAGATATTCTTTTGAAGAAATTGAAAAAAGAATTAGTAAATTATCTCACTTCCATTGAAACATTTTCTATAGATGTTTTCCATGTAGAATCTTTCAACTGTTTAGTTAGATGAGGGATGGAATCTCCTCGATCGGCAGGCATACAGGTGTGATCTATAATTGAAAAGAAAGTTTATTAGATGCCAATATCATTTAAAAGCGAAATAACCATACGACTTATCTTATTGTTTTATTACATTTAGTATATGGCTAGGAGCGATGTTACGGACATGAGTTTCATCTTATTTGAAACTTGTCAATTAGATATGCCTGCATCATATTTTTGATATTTACAGTGAGACTAGAACCTCGTTATAAATACAAAGTCATTATCCACTAAGCTACCAAGGGCATATAGCCGGTAACTACTTTAAAAGGTATGAAGTCATTAAACAAGGTTTGTAATTCCCGGTTGTTGATATTCAGGACTGGGATTGATCTGTCCCGGATCTCACGTGTGCACCCTGAGTAGATTGCCTTGATATGACTCATTGAAAAGTACCATATGTGAATCCTTGATTTCACCTCTATCTGTATGCCAGGTATAATGACTATCTAGTCAAGATGCAAATGTGCCAACATAAGCTGGTCGATTGACGATCTGAGTAGTGGAGACGGGAAATCATACTGACAAGTGGCTCATTTTACGATGGTAGATGATGCTATTGCAAATAAAAACATTAAGAATGAGCTTATATAAATCATTGAATTAAAACTGTGTTATGTTACAGATCAACAGAAAGTCAAGGTGAGAAACACTGGAGTTTAACTGAATGCCCTTAAGCTATCATGGTAGTTGTCAGGTGTAATAGTACTGAATGCAATCTTCTGCATGGTCATTGGTGCTCATATCCTCAAGTTCGGATAATACGTCTTGATTCTTAACGGTTCTCAATTCACTTATTAACAACAATCATCCCAAAAACGTTAATGGTCTTCACAATAAAGTTTCCTCCATAACAATGTGTGCATATTGAAACTATAGACTCTATCAATACTATCTGACACAAATAAACGAAAGTATATCACATCTTGCCATAAGAATGAACAAGGAGAACTGTAAATTTCGAACCTTCAAAGAATGTCATTGTTTTAAGAACATATAATGAGTATTCCAAGTAAGAAAGTAGAACTTTTAATTATCAGCATCTTCCAGCTTTTAGTACTAGTGTACAGTTTTCATTGAAACAAGCAATACTGACCCACACATTTTTGTTTAGGATGGACTTAAATAACAAGTGACCTGGTAGCAGGTAAATTTGATTCATTTTGATACTATGTGAAAAAGATGTTTATCAGTTCACCTTGTTTTCCAATGAATATTTTCAAAGTTAAGTAACCTTAATAACTAGGGATTCAGTGGTGTGTTAACCGTCCAATAAATACTGAATAAGTGTGAAATGAATTTCGGAAGCTCAGACGAAGTGATGCAACAGATAGGACGAAGTATTTGCTTGTAACACCAGTGATCTCCGATTTTCAGCGGTTGTTTTTTGCATGAATAGTATTAGATGTTTAAGGAATTTGTTTACCGTTTTTAAAATCGTTTTTCAGTTTTTGAGGCTTCTTCTGTCGAATAGATATTTGGTGGAGATTTTCACTATGAGACATATCAACAATATGCTCCTTACGAATAGCTTTATTGTCACTGACATCTTCGTTTCTGAAATAATAAAATAAAATATATAAATTGGAACGTTTTTAACCCTGAATTTGCTTGTTTAAATTATACAAATGATTCTTTTTGAACATTAAAAGATCTAACGAACCTGGGATCATTCCCATATGACATCACAAATTCAGCAGTGTATTAAGGAGTTCTAAGTAGTAACAAGGTATTTGTCTGGTTTCGGGTCTCAACAATATCCTTGAAATCACTCATATTTTGCAACAGATGAAAGTGAGGGATCACTGGTTACTCTTTGACCTTGCTCGTCATCCAGAGATGGATAATTTAAAGTCGTGCTACTTTAGGCGAAAGATCTGTCAATGTTTTGATTACATAAGGCATGTTTATATATATATATTCTCACATAACTCTCTCTTCTGAAATCTATTCGTTTCGAACTTTCAGTTTAGGCCTAAAAGTCTATGATTAATTCAGTTATCCATTCACTTTATCATTCTATCTAATCGACTGATTTGTTAAAGAAAAATTAGACATGATTAATAATAGGATCAGTCAGTCAGCTAGCGACAACGTAGAACTTTGTAAGTACGTACGTTTCCACAACTGTACAGTTTAACTGTAAGACTGTACTACTGTCGTGGGTAACATCATTAGCGTCAGCCTCAAATTGACAAGAATATTAGTGTTTTCTTCTTTAAGGACGATCTGATAAGTCTTCTAGCTGAACGCCTAAATCAGCTTTCTAAGCTCTTCTAAAAACTTTAGGCAAAACCTACACGACAACTTCAACATAATAGAAAAAGTGTGGTGTAGCGAGGTTTTAATCCAAGACTATTTTATGTGCGAAACTCGAGAGTACTTGTAGTATTTCAGAAGGCATAAATGCATGTTACGTTTTTGTACGCCTACTAATTGACTCATAATAACATGCTTATACTTTCATTTTATTCGCATCTTTACGATACACATGTACTTTTTTATATAAGCATAACACTTTCATATAATATACTCACCCCTCACGGGACACTATACTTTATCGGATATAGTACTTTTCCGCTGAGTATTGATAACGTTAACCATTCATCATTTCAGTGTTATTTTGAAATCAAACAGTGTACTGTTTTCTACAAGGAGCTATTTAGTGTCAGTCGCCATGTTAAGCCCATAAAGCCCATGAATCTATTCTACTTGATTCAGCAACTAACAGACATAGTCCGTTTATAAAAACCAGCACGTACGTTCATCTTCGAACCACTCTGGATTGAGATTAATATAAGGCTCTCCTTGATCGCAGGACATGAATTCCAACAACGCATTTTAATATACAAAATTGTATGGCGCTATTTACGTCAATGTATTGCATTAGGCACAGAGATGCTTGATGAACTGTAAAAGGTAATAATTGGTCCTTTAAATATATCTGGAATATAGCACTGAGTGTTTCATCAACTATATCTTTGGTGATATCAAAACATGTCTTTTCAGCAAAATCAAAATCGTTCAAATGGTTCAAATGGTTGTGGACGGAATAGAAGAAGCTTTCGCTTAACAGGCTTCCGTGTCTAGTAGCAGGGGATCACCAAATCCTCCAGGCAGGAACCTAGGTATGTTAACAATAAAAGAGGAAAAGAAATTGGTAAATCATAGTGCGATGCTGTCCTTGGTCCTTAAGAATAGGTCAAGTTGCCTCTTGAAGGACTCCTGAGAAGTCGCTTGGACTAGCTCGGCCGGGAGCGAGTTCCAGCTTTTGACAACTCTTAAGGAGTAGAAGTTGTGTCTACATTCCGTCTTGCTATGTTGTGTTTCCAGTTTCTGGGTGTTACCCCTTAGGTTATTGTTCGAACTAAGCTTAAGTAGGTGTTTAAGAGGATGTCCAGAAGTGTTAAGAATACTATAAGCCATTAATAAATCACCTCTAAGACGCCTATATTCTAGTGGGTAAAGGTCTAGTGAACGGAGGCGTTCTTCGTAAGGCTTAGATTTGAGTCCTCGAACTGATTTCGTGGCTCGCCGTTGGATACGCTCCAAAGTGACCTTATCCTTTTGGAGTGAGGGGGGGAGTACTATGTTTCCGTACTCTAAATGGGGACGGATGAAACTATTGAAGATTGTGTGGAAAGTTCGTCCGTCAAACTGACCAAAAATGCGCCTCAACGTTACCAGTGCAAGGTTTGCTCGGAAGGCATTTTTGTCACAGTTAGCGTAAGACTTTAAGTCATGGGGCACCAGGACTCCTAAATCTTTTTCGACTTGGGATACTACTAGAGAGGAGTTTCCTAAGTTGTAACTGTAGTTTGCGACATGTCGCAGATGGACTACTTTACACTTTGAAGTGTTAAAGGTAAGTCCGTTATCGTCTGCCCAACTATGAAGTCGAGTCAGATCCTCTTGAAGTGCCTGTATATCGTCTTGGTTGCGTATCTCTCTCCAAAGTTTCACGTCGTCGGCAAAAAGTAATAAGTCTGACGTTACCTGTTGAGGAAGATCATTTATGTAGATCAAGAAGAGAAGAGGCCCTAGTACTGAGCCCTGGGGGACCCCGCTAGGACATTCCATAGCCTGAGATAAAGTGAAATTAACCCTAACCTTAAAGTGTCGATTTTTTAGGTATGAAGTAAGCCAGTCGATTAGAGGTGGTTTGATACCTAGTCGTTTGAGCTTGTTGATAAGACACAAGTGGTTAACCTTATCAAAAGCTTTTGAGAAATCAAGGTAAATGACATCAACCTTTCCCTTGCGATCGAGGATGCTTGTCCATCTGTCCACCGCAGTCAGCAGGTTGGTTATACAAGAGTAACCCTTCCTGAAACCATGCTGTTGGGGTGAGAAGAAATTTAAGGACAGTAGGTAGTCATTTAAACCGTCGCATATCAGGGACTCCATGAGTTTTGAAGGTAACGACAGAAGAGCCACTGGCCGGTAACTTGAAGGTTCATTGCGTCGACCACCTTTGAAAATTGGTGTGATGTGAGCCAACTTCCAATTTTCCGGTAGTTTGCCTCGGCTAAGCGAGTGTGAAAACATCACGCTAAGCGGCGTTGCCAGGATTGAGGCTGCCTCCCTCAGTATGGCAGGATGAACCATATCCGGGCCAGGAGAAGTGTCAAGTCTTAAGTGTTGCAGTTTCCGGAACACCAAGTCAGCGCTTAGGTCCACTTCAGAAAGTCCTGTGGAATTGCAGATGAAACTGTCGTCAATAAAGTTGATATCAGCCGGTTGAAATGTTTGAGAGTAATGGGCCGCCAGAAGGTTAGCGGCGTCGCCATCGTTGTTGGTCGGGCCGTTAGGACCTAGCAGTTGAGAAACTCCTGTTTTGGCTTGACGAAGAGAGGCTGCATAACGGAATAGGCTTCTAGGGTTAGAGGCGAATTTTTCCATAAGCTTTGTTTGGTACTGAAGCCTGTCTTCTCTTATAGCCTTCGTGCATGTGTTCCTGATATGTTTGTATTGCCTATACGCTCCATCGTTATTAGTTCGTTTGTATTCCGCCCAACAGTGCCGTTTGCGGCTCAGGAGGCGAAGGGTACGGTTCTTGATTACTGTAGGTGGCTTGAAGCTTTTGGGAACCGTTTGAGGAACTGAATGGTCTGTAGCACGTAAGAGCGTGTGCAGCAAGAAGTCCCAATGACCATCCACATCGATTTGAGGGTGAACATCCCAAGCCACCTGTTGTAGATGGTCATGTAGAGCTCGCACATTCAGCCGTTTAAAATTCCATCGCAAATTATTGTTGGGATACCTTAGCTTAGTTTTGATGACAAAACTGAAGGCTATGACGGCATGATCACTTTTTCCCAGAGGAGCCAGGATTGAGAGGTTGTCGACTAGGAATTCTTCGTTAGTGAATACACAGTCTAAGCGCGATGGTGTCTGACTGTTTCTCCAACGAGTTGCCGACCTCACATTTTCATATAAGCCCAAGTTATCGATGAGGTTGAAGAACCGAGCTTCAGTTGAGTTGTCGCCTCCAGTGTACGTGTGATCCGCGAAGTTGACTCTAGGGAGATTAAAGTCCCCTAGAATCAGGATGTGTGTGAAACCGAGACGGATAGAGCGGGATAGTCCTTCCAGCATACGACTATCGTACTCGGTGTCGGCAGTTGGCTTCCTATAAATGACTCCGACTAGACACCTGGAAGTACTAGACAACCTTACAGAGCACCATATGGATTCCTCAAGATTGTTAAACTCGAGGTTGTGAACCTGGTGCACCTCCAAGCAAGAGCTTATGTATATGGCTACTCCGCCCCCAATTCCTATTTTTCTGTCGTTGCGGAACAAAGTCATCCCAGGCAATGCTAACTCTTGATCCGAGAACTGAGAAGATGTCCAGGTTTCAGATATTCCTATCAGATGGGCCTTGTTAGCGTCGCTAAGTTCACGTAGTTCATCCAGTTTGTTTGGTAGACTCGCGGCGTTCGTATATAAGCAGTTTATGCTTTCAATTTGGAACGCATGAGCTTCGTCCTGTTTTTCTGTATGAACCTTATGTGAATGGACAGGTAGCCCACCTATATGAGGTTTGCCGAGGTGGTAGGCCCTGTCCTTTACACGTTTTTTTTATCGTTTAAACAGTCCACAAGTGGAATGGTCAGCTCCAGCTTGCCTTTGTTCTTGGTCCTGACTTCGTATGGCCTATCCGGGTGCATGTGGATTCCAGGTGGCAATCGACGTCTATTAGCACGAAATGCTTCCAGAACTGCAGCCGCCATGTGGGAAGATGGGAAGGTTATCTTCATTAGACGGGGTCTAAGATCGCCGTCCTTCTTGGCTAGTCTCGTCACATGCTGAGTCAGTATGTGTTTGAGCCTCAAGGACCGTTTGATGAATTTCCATTCCCTGATGTCAGAATTTGATTGAGTAGGGTCTGCATTTTCCGGTATACCTTGGACAATTATGTTTCTTCCGCGGAAGAACTTCTCGCGAGATTCTTTAGGGACGTTTCGTATGATATTGCGCTCAGAGTACGGTATGTCGGGCA